AAAAAAAAAAAAAAAGTTGTCTGGGTTATTAATTTACACTTTGATTTTTATGATACAATTGCTTCAGCTTCCCCTCACTTTATGTTGCTCTCCTTTGTTCAGTTTCTGGACTTTCAGTTATTAATCTGACATATTACTTTTTCTTTCTTTTGACTTTTTAAAATTTTATTTTAAAGAGAATAAAAAATTTAAAAAATTAAAAATGATACAGAATTTCAAAACAAGGTGATAGGAAGTCAACAGTGGTTGTTATATTGCCTATTGTTATCCTCAAAGTAGTTGTTCAGATTACCAGATACAGACACACAAAACTGATATAAAAAATTAAGCATTAACTTTTCCTTTCAATAAACCAATAGAAATTATTAGTCTTTTTCTTTTGAGACAGGATCTTGCTATGTAGTTTAGGCTGGCCTCAAACTAGAGGAGATCCTCTTGCCTCAGCACCTTCCCCGACCCTGAATGCTGGGATTACAGGCGTGCACCACCAAACCTGGCTCACTTTCTTCCCAATACAGATATTTATGGTTTAAAATTTCTCTCTAAGCATTGTTTTAGCTGTATCCCATACATGTTGTCTTGTGTTTTCATTTCCCTTTTCATTTCTTCTTTAACTCACTCATTGTTTAAGAGTTTGATTTCCACATGTTTATAATTTCATTCCACGTTGTCAAAGAACATATTTTAACTATTTGCTTCCTTTAAATTCACTGAGATGTGTCTTCTGCATTATTAAGGACTATACTGCTGTCCTATAGAATGTCCATGTGCACTTGAGAAGAATGTATATTCTGCTCTAATAGGGTGGACTCTTCTATAGACATCTATTAGTTCTACTTATAGTACAGTTCAAATTTTCTGTTTCTATTTTCATCTTAGGTCTAGTTGTCTTACTCATTATTTAAAGTGGAGTACTGATGTTTTCAATTATTATCATTACTTTGTTTTGTTGAATTGTCTATTTCTTCTTTCATTTCTGTCAGTTTACGTATTTTCACTCTGTGCTGCTAGATCTAAGCCTTTATTATCTACGCTACAATGCTATGTCTGTAATCTCAGTTCTAGCCTGTTGTCCCTCCTTGTTTTGGTCTACCAGTTACTGATAGCAGAACTGTCAGGCTATTCTCTGTGCCTACTGTTCATGTCAATCTCAACATTCATGAGCAGCTAATGTTGGTCTCAGTGTGAACTAGAGTAGAGTGGGCCAGGAAATGAAAAGAGAAGGGAAGTGTTCAAATCCCAACTCCGTCATTTACTACCTCAGTGACTTCAGTGAGGTTAATGATTTACAAGCCCTTTCAAGATAAAGACTCAAAAGACCATGTGCACATTCGCTTAATCTTCCTGGAACAGAAGAAACTCACAGGAGGATAACTGTTATTATTATTAAAGGAAAATTTCAAAGACAGAAGGCTGGTAGGGCCACTCATCCCTTCTCTACTCCCACCCTCAGCATCCCAGGGTCAATTTTGGTTCTTTACTCATGTCTTTCCTGCTGAGTGGCTTTTCTCTGGCTTTACATAAGAGCCCTGAACGCCCCTAAAGGAGAATTAAGACCCTCAAATATGACATTCTCTTCCGAAATGCTGCAATTCCTTGTGTGGGGAAATAAATCCCAGAATGGGGAAAACTGTAAAATGCAGAGCAGAATAGACAGGAGTTTAAGTACTTTGGCTTAAAATCTTCTAATGTACTTGCTCCATGCCCAGCCTCAGTGTTCTGTCCTAGGTAGACCCATAGGTAAAATGTTATTAATTAATAAGAAAAATAACAACAATAATGTAAATGATCCATGAAAACTAGTGAGTGTCCCTAAGAATCTGGGTCAAAATCTAGTGGAGTTTGTTTTTTTTTTTTTATAACTTAGTATCCTTGGGAAAGTTGAGACTTTCTGCAATATGTGTCATTGTTATTAGTATTTCACAAGACCTGACCAGTCGCTTTGCAAACTGTGACCCTGAGTTATATTCTCATCTTACGCAAAATGTTCCACTGAAATGTGCCTCCGGTCATCTACCTTAATCCTAGTCACATAAGGTCAATAGATGTTCAGCTCTTATGCAGTCAATCCTAGCTGTGCTTTGAAGAGTTCACTAAGGACTCTGGGTTGTAACAGATAGTATGAGACCAGACCCAAGCAGATCAACCTGTAGGTACAGATGACTCCAGGATTTGACTGGGATTTTCATATACTTCTAGGAGCTCCACATTCACAGCTTCTCATTCAAGACCTTCAAATGACTAATCCTGGAATCCTCCTTCTAGAATTTCCTGAACATATATCTGTCTTCACCAACAATCCCAAATCTACAGCCACGTTCATGTCTCATCCAATGAAACCTATGATAGAGCTTTTGCTCTGTCATAGACCTCAAATTCGACATTTGTGAAATTGTTTCCCACCCTGGAATTCTAACTCCAAAGCTCAACCTCACAACATGCAAATATTCCAATGTTTTCAATTCTTGAGTAAATTTCTTATCCCTATATATCTTGAGTTCTCAGATTCTTCCTCTTTAAGGGCTAAAACTTCAGTGTAAAACATTACTTGTGAATCTGCTCAGATGTCCCACCCCCACCTATATGCATGTGACACAAACTAGGTTGGGTGCATATTGGGGGTGTGGTTGGGAGTTGAAATGAAACAACTATATAAACAAGAACAAAGGCCACACTTCTGTTTCAGGAAGTATAAATGAAAAAACATCTCAGCCATCACTACTGACTGTGAATCTCACTGCAACCATGCTGGCCTCAGGGATGCTTCTGGTGACTCTGCTGGCCTGCCTGGGTTTATTGGCGTTGATGTCTATCTGGAAAGAGAGGAAGTTCTGGGGAAAGCTGCCTCCTGGGCCCACCCCACTGCCCTTCATTGGGAACTACCTGCAGCTGAACACAAAGAAGATGTACAGATGCCTCACGCAGGTGTCTCCAGGCAAGGGGATGGGTGGAGTGTGGTGGACATGGGACTCTGTGTATTTTGGCTGGGACTTGGAGAAAGGGTACTCATCAAGATAAACCAGTCTTAGGAAGGGGGAATTTTGAAGGTTAAGCAACTACATACTGGCCAGGAAAAACTATATCTTGGGATGTTCAGTTCCTTGACAATCAGAGCCTGGGAGAAATGCATCACAGGATCTGAATTCTGGGTACTGGGCCTATTGAGGAAATAACTCATCTAATCATTCTTACTCACTCCCATCAGATGAGCAAGCACTATGGCCCAGTGTTCACCATCTACCTTGGGCTTCGCCGGGTAGTGGTGCTGTGTGGATATGATGTAATAAAGGAGGCTCTGGTGGATCAGGCTGAGGATTTTAATGGGAGAGGCGAACAGGTCACCTTCAACAGGCTCTTCCAAGGCTATGGTAAGGGGCGCACCAAGAAGGGAAATGTGGCCCAGGGGACTTTGTGGGCTTAGTTTCCCCTGCCTTCTCTGTTGACTCACCTGCCCACACAAAGTTGTGCAGAGCTTTTTCTGGTGGCCTTCTCCACACATTAACTCTCCCTATGTCAGTCTCCAATTTGTCCTAGACTTTCTCTGTCTTAATTTCTCTCTTTATCTCTCTGTCCCTGTTTTTTTGTTTTTTGTTGTTGTTGTTTGTTTTGTTTTGTTTTGTTTTGTTTTTGCTATATGTTGTTTCTTTCTCTGGATCTAACCCATCTCTTAGAACCTCTTCTGATTCTTGTAGTGGAATCCTGCTCCTCTAACTTTACCTGATGACTTTGTTTCTCATCCTCAGATTCTGTGCTTCCTCTTAATTTTTTCTGTCTCCCTCTCACTCCCTTCTTCCTCTGGCAAGGTCTCATACAATGTCTGCTTCAAAGTCGCATTACTTTCAGGACAACAATTTCTCCTTTCAGAAGATATCTGGGGTTTTTTGTTGTTATTTTGTTTTTCTATTTTTTTCTCTTCTCCAGTTCAGCTTACAAATTTTCACAATTTTGTATCAACTTACAGATGTAAGAATAATGTAAGAATAATGTAAGAATAATCTCCCCTTCTATCCATCTCTCTCTTTACTTTCTTTCCTCCTTCCACTGAAGCGTCTTTGGACTATTGTTTCTCTACATTTATCTTACCTCTCCATGTCTTCCTTCTTTTGATTATCTTCTAAATCTACCTTTCTCTTTCCATATATGTCTGATTCTGGCTCTGAGTTTGTAGTTGTCGTACTCTCTCACTCTTGATCTGTATTCATCCCGGTCATTTCCTATTGGGAGCCCCACTCATGGGTGGTCTGTGGCCTTCTCAGCCTTTTTCTGACCTCTTCTTAGCTTTCCACTCACATCCCCAGGCGTGACATTCAGCAACGGGGAGCGGTCCAAGCAACTTCGGCGTTTCTCCATTGCTACACTGAGGGACTTTGGTGTGGGCAAACGTAGCATTGAGGAGCGAATCAAGGAAGAAGCAGGATACTTCGTCCAGGCTATTCAGGCCACACGTGGTAAGCAGAGGCCCTAGTGTGCTTGGGAAGAAAAAAGGAAAATGCCTGATAAGAAAGACCTGTGGTGGGTGGACTGGAGTGGAGACATACTTGGGGCAAGTCTCCTGGTCTTGCACACCCAGGGTCCAGTGATAACTATTTTTCTCAACACTGCAGTACCTTCCTCAAATTGTCAACCTGGCATCACACCATCCAATTGCCTTGCTCCCAATTCCTGTCTCTCCCTGACTCCATGCCATTCTGTAGGAGCCTTCATTGATCCCACCTTCTACCTGAGTAAAACAGTCTCCAATGTCATGAATTCCATAGTCTTTGGAGAGCGCTTTGACTATGAGGACAAAGAATTCCTCTCACTGCTACAAATGACGACAACAGTCAAGAAATTTATAGCGTCGCCTCTGGGACAGGTAACATATTCCAGCTTTGCCTTCCACCCCTGCCCCATAAACCAGCCAATAGCAACCAGAAGGCAACAGATGTCCCAAGCTTCCACCCTTTTACAGACAAAGTCCTCTCCAAGCTAGCCCCCACTGTTTGACATCTGACCAGTTGAACCATATTTGGACAGGGGCCCAATACCTGGTCTCTAAGAATTCCTGAATATCTTAACAGATAGCCCCCAAACACCCTGGAGGCAAGATACTTGCCCTGCTCTCAGAGTTCACATGGGCAGGTGGTCCCATCTCAAGTTCACTTTATCTTGAACAGATGCTCCCTACTTAGTCTTTCTAAATGTTTTAACACCTGAATAAGTGACCACCTCAGCCATCCTGAAAACATAAAACTTGATGCTGCAAATTTCAGGTTACCAAAATAATTTGAGTTCTATACACCTATAACAAACCCGCCAGCTGGTATATCTAGATAAGTGTCTGGTACTCATCCCACCTAACTACGTGAAGGACTGCACAGGTACCAGAGCCAAGATAAACAAGCATGTAAGTATTTGGTGTGATATTCCCCCCAAGCACTTAATATGTGCTCTCCAACCCAGCCCACTCACACACCTTATGGAGGTGCTCCTATGCAGTCCATTGGAATGTGTCTAAACACCACAACAGGTATCCCCTATTTTAAGACCTGAACTACTGCCCCATTTTATGCTTTAATGCCAGTAAATCAGCCCCTAATTTAAATACAAGAATTCAACTAGGCAACTGACTACAACTTAGCAAATTTTAATGCCTGAAGACCTAAGTAGGTGATCCACAATTACAACCCCATCTGAATTCCTCAAAACCTGAATTTCTCCATTCCCAAATTATTGGAAGTTCTGAACATGTGTGTCCCAAACCATCTCACTTAAATTCTTGAACAATGATTTTCACATTTAATGACATATAAAATTACATATCTGTTCCCAATAGGCCTCACCTAAATATCTAAATATTGGGCAGGTTCCTGCATCCAAGGTTTTTCTTGCCCTGAGACAGTCCCTACTTTGACCAACTTCTACCCACTGACAGCTGTCTTTCTGTTATATTCTCTTTTCCCACCTCCAGCTCTATGAGATATTTTTTGCAGTGATGAAGCATTTGCCAGGACCACAGCAAGAGGTCTTTAAGGAGATGCAGAGGCTGGAGGACTATATGATTAAGAAGGTGAAGCAGAACCAGTGCACATTGGATCCCAATGCCCCACCACGGGACTTCATTGACTCCTTCCTCATCCGCATGCAGGAGGTACATACAGCAGTCAGGGTGGAAATGATCAAAACTGGGCAGAGGTAAATCAGGATAAGGAGGAAGGAAGAACTGAACCTCATTCAAGTTGGTCCCCCATCATGATAATCCTCTTAATCCCAATCACAATTAAATGTTGCTGTCTCATCTACTGAGCCCTAATTCAACGCAGAACATGTGCAAGGAAATCATACAGTAGTACCATGTGCCAGGCAATATTTTTTAAGTGTTCCATGATATTTACCTATTATTACCCATAACAATTCTTGAGCAATATTATTTTACTGCACCATTTTACACATGGGGAAACTGCAGCCAAGAGGGTAAGTGGCTTTCCTAAGACCACACAGCAAGAAGTGGTAGACTCTAGCTCTGACTCTAAAGCTGGTGTTTTCAGTTACCATGCTCTAACGTTTGCTACCCTGATTATCACATACACCTGTGTGGACAGGTGACCTGGCTTTGCTATGTGATCTTGGAAGGGCTCCACAGCCATCTGGAAATCAATCTTCAGCCTGTGAAGAAAGGGGAAATTTTTTCAAAGATTCTGAAGTATGGAGTCTAAACTTCAAAGGATCAATGGAAGGAAATCTTCCATATGAAGATTCAAGACATTTGGGGAAAGAATAGGACACTGCCACTCAAACTTTTGCATCTTATTCTCAGAAAACATGTCCTTAAGTCACTTGAGACACCCCTTCTTGACATTTCTGACCCTCCTTCTCAGTCTCATTCCCTTACTTTGTCAGTGTTCCTACCATTGAAAAAGCTGATAATTACAGAACAGATAGTCATCCAGGAAAAGAGCATGAGAAGAGCATTTGGGGCAGATCAGGCATCCTGGATAAAGGCCTGGAAATTCTAGAGAGAATGGCAGCTCTAGAGTCTCTCTTCCCACCTTAGTCCTGGGCCCAAGATAGGTGGATCCAAGGAAAACCCGAGAAGGTCTCCAAGAGATTAGTAAATGAGCTCAGAATGTTAATCTCTCTTGCTGCAGGAGAAGAAGAATCCCAACACAGAGTTCCACATGAAGAACCTGGTGATGACCACACTGAGCCTATTCTTTGCAGGCACAGAGACCGTCAGTTCAACTCTGCGCTTTGGCTTTCTGCTGTTCATGAAGCACCCGGATGTGCAGGGTAAGACTGAGGGGCAAGGAGGTGTGGGACACAGATTCTCCAAACTCTCCTGAGCTTGCAGCAATGACTTCATCTCTCCCAGACATTGGACCCTCTTATACACATTGCCATGCAGAGTCTCACTAGCTATTAAAATATTGTGATTGTCTGAAATGATTTGTAAACCCCTCCCCTGAGACACTTTCTGCCAAATTCCTTCTGCCAAGGGTCATCCTGAATATTTTTCTCTCCTGCTTCCTCTACAGTTTTTGCACTAACACAGTTAACAAGAGTTGATCAAATAGTATGATGGGCATCTGTTGTGAGAGTCCTACATACATACATGGATAATTGTCATGCATGTAGTTTTACATATTTGGACTGTTGTCCTTGCTCTGAGGCCACTGGATGCCAAAATATATTCCACTTCTCCCCCAGCCAAGATCCATGAAGAGATTGACAGAGTGATTGGAAAGAACCGACAACCCCAATTCGAGGACCGGGTGAAGATGCCCTACACAGAGGCAGTGATACATGAGATCCAAAGATTTGCAAACTTTGCCCCCATGGGTATACCTCGCAGGATCAGCAAGGACACCACATTTCGGGACTTCTTCATTCCCAAGGTGCTGCCCTGCCCACTCTAGAGGACTATCCAAACACTCCATGGAATCCCAATACCCTATCTCATTAGAAGATTTCCAGTTCATATCCCACTTCTTCAAAGAACTCTTTAACTACTATGCCCCTTTAGCTCTTCCACAAATAATTTCCTACTTTCTGCAACTCCCTTAGTCTTAATGCCTCAGAAGTTTAACTTCCATAGCCCCAAAGTCCATAGAGAAACATATGGAAACATCCAACTGCTCCCCACCTCTTACCTTGAGAGATATGAACTACATATCCTTCAATCATCAGAAACAAAAGCCCTATTTAAGTTAAACATCTTGTCTCAAGGAAGATGAACCCACAAAATTCCTTCCTCAGGAAACACCAACTACATTTACCTAAAAACTTCACCTAGATCACTCCAGTTCCTCACACTAACACCTCTATTCTTTCAGCACACTCATATTGCAGCCCTCCTTATCAATATTCCTCCTCTTCCCTGACAGGGCACTGAAGTGTTCCCTATGCTGGGTTCTGTACTGACAGATCGCAATTTCTTCTCCAACCCAGAAGATTTCAACCCACAGCACTTCCTGGATGAGAAGGGCCAGTTTAAAAAGAGTGATGGTTTTATACCCTTTTCCATTGGTAAGAGAACAGTGTTTGCTGCCAGGCCACCATAAAAACCAAAAAGAGTTGCTTACTGCTGGTTCCCTCTATCAAGCACAGCCTAGTATATTTATCCATTTGGGAAGTTTCCTTGGAATCTACCTCCCAGCCAATCAAATATGGGCCCCAAATTTCCTAAACACTAAATATCTGTATCCAAGCAAGGGGAGAGATTATCAAACCCCTTTCAGAGATTTTTCTAAGGACACACAACCCATTCTTCAGGCTTGTAGACAGGAGATGATAGCACTGAAGCCATTTTGAGAGTCTATTTGGGGAGAAAGGGCATCTAAACTTCCATTTGCTACAACCTGGATGGATTGTAGCATGCATATAGCTTGGAGACATATAGCTTGGAGACATATATATATATGGAAACATATAGCGTGGAGACATATAGCATGCATATAGCTTGGAGACATATAGCTTGGAGACACACATATATATATATATATATATATATATATATATATATATATATTTCCATGTATATATATATATATGGAAACAGGCTCAGAAAGGATTAAAGCCTCCCCTAAGGTCACTTACACCAAAGTATTTGAAACTTCTTCTCCCTGGGAGAACACAACAGGGTGTTGGTACAGAGCGAGAATTAAGTGAATGTTCATTTCATCTGCATCCCTCCTCCTCTCCTCTTCAGGAAAGCGGAACTGCTTTGGGGAAGGACTGACTAGAATGGAGCTCTTTCTCTTCTTCACCATCATCATGCAGAACTTTCGGTTCAAGTCCTCACAAGCACCTGAGGATATCTATGTGTCCCCGACACCCTTGGGCTTTACCAGGGTTGTGCCAAATTACACCATGAGCTTCCTACCACGCTGATCCAGGAGTGAGATAGGGCTCACTAGGGCAAGTTGGTGCTGAAGGGAAAAATGGAGGCACCATGAGTGGGCCTAGTGGTAGGGGTATGGCCAAGGAAACTGACCAATATTCCACAGAAATGAAAGGTCAAGATGGATAGGGGGGCTGGGGATTTAGCTCAGCGGCAAAAGCGCCTGCCTGGCAAGCGCAAGGTCATGAGTTCAGTTCCCGGTACCGGAGAAAAACCAAAAAAAAAAAAAAAAAAAAACAGAAGATGGATAGGACAAGGAGAAGAAAGAGAATAGACTTCTAACTTTGCTAAAGGCAGAGTCCTCAAACTGGGATGAGAGAAATGAAAAGCATACATTGTGCTATGTATAATGATAATAATAATTATGATAATAAATAATAGCTATTATTCATTGAGCAGTATTCTGTGTTTGCTCTTAAAGCATCTTCTGCTTCTACAGATAAACTCTACAGTTAGAGCAATTATAAAAACAAAAGAGAGAGAAACTATACCCCGAGAGGTGCCAGGTAACACAATCATCATAGCAGTTTATCAGAAAGAGTTAACAAAACAAGGAGGAAATCAGAAACCTAAAAGACCCAGGAAACCAGACCCCTCACCTATCTCTGATAAAATACAAAAGAGAGGGGCTGGGGATTTAGCTCAGCGGCAAAGCGCCTGCCTGGCAAGCGCAAGGTCGTGAGTTCGGTTCCCGGTTCAGGAGAAAAACCAAAAAAAATAAATAAATAAATACAAAAGAGATACAGAGCAGACACCACAGGACTCTTATTTAATATGTAAAACAGACAAACCTACACATATACCCGTGTATGTATGTATGTTCTCACTTTAACATGACTATATTATTGCACCAGATACACACATGTCCCCTTTACTTAGTCATTAACTCTAATTTATCTTCCTACAAGTCTCCCCACACACGCTTATCCACCACAAAAGAACAGGAAGAAAATTAAATGGCTGGAAAGAATTAGACAAAGGTTCCTAAGATTAGGATCCATGATAGTGAGAGTGCCAATCAAATTGTGACACCTTCCAGGTGACCATAGGAGGGAGGCACGAGAATTTGTCATAAATTAAAAGGAGGTGATGACAAAATCCTATGCGTATACACTTCTGATGCCCCCTACTCTTGCAGAGTAACTGTCTTTCTTCTTTTCTTATCCTTTTCCAAATAAATCATCTTTTATTTTAAACACTGCCTCTTTAATTCACTACTAAAGTTGAGAGCTTACAGTCCCAGTAATTGCATGTTCCAGACAAAATATGGTATGTATACACCACCCTGCCACAATACTTCAAGACAAAATTGATTAGAAGAGACCAAGAGAGGGACTAGACACTAATACAATAAGTTCCTGATTTACAAACGAGTTCCATTCCAGGTGAATGTTAGTAAATCAGGTTTGTTTGTAAGTCTGACAAAGTGGGTCTTATTCACTTTCAACACAAATATACAATGCACATTGTTTTAAAAAACCAAACACTCAGGCACAATACTGTACATTACCACATTGTACAGTAAATACACAGCAATACAAATGTGACAATGTCCAGCAGAAATGTGAACTACTTCTGCTATTTGTTCACATCTACAGATGCTTGTAATGAGAGGTCAGTTCATATCTGTGAAAGTTTGCGACTCTATTATTCATAAGTTGGGAACTTACTGTGAAGAGATCAATTCTTCAAGATGTAATTATTGTAAACATTAAATTTTAGAGTACCTAATTATATAAAACAAACATCAAGACATAAATATAAAGGTAGGAGCCAAAGCAATATTAGCAATGACATCAATACCACACTCTCACAAATAGATGGATCTTCCAGACCAAAAAGAAAACAAAGAGACATGAGTTAAATTATACTATAGATCAAGTAAGAGGCTAGAGATACAGCTCAGCAGTGCATCGCCTGCCTGACAAGTACAATGTCCTGAGTTCAATTCCTAGTACACCCCCCAAAAGATCAAGTGATCACAATAAAAATCTATGAAGTATCCCATCCAATAACCACAAGACATGCATTATTTTCATCATCACATGAAACTTTATCCAATATATATATTTCAGGCCATAAAGTAAATGTTAATGTTGTTTTGAAATGTTAATTATTTCAAAAATTGAAATAATTTCTTGTATTATAACAGATAAGAAGGGCATAAAACTAGAGATCAACAGCAAGAGAAACAGCAGCAATTATATGAATACATGGATGTTGACCATACCTTGCTGAATAAAGGCGTGTCTTTGAAGAAAATGGGGGAAATAAAATGAAAATGAAAACACAACTTACCAGAACAGATAGGGCACAGTAAAAGCTGTTGTAGAATGGACTTTATAGCTCTGAGCGCCTATGTTAGAAAAACAGACAAATCTGAAATAAGTGGCTAAATTATGCATCTCAAGGTCTTCAGAAAACGGGAACAAACAAGATACAATCCTGGTAGAAGAAAATAAATAATAAGGATTAGATAAGAAATAAGTAAACTACAGACTGAAAGAACAACATGAAATATCAGTGCAATGAGCAATGGCTTCTTTGAAAATATAAAAATGATTGATAAACCCTTAACCAAGGTAAACAAAAGAAAGAGACAAAAGACTAAAGCATTAAATTTATTTTTTTATTTTAAAGAGGATAAAGGGCAATAACAAAATAACAGCAATGAAGACAAAAACAAAACAATACAAAAACAATTAAAATGATACAGTATTTCAAAACAAGATGATAGGCATTAACAATGGTTGCTATATTACATATTGTTTATCTTGAAGAAGTTGCTCGGATTACCAGATGTAAGAATGCAAGATTTATCAAAGACAATAATAAGTAATAAAAACAGTAAAAATGATACAGAGCTTCATTAAATAAGATTGTGGGAATTCAGCAATGGTTGTTATACTGCATATTGTTGTCTTCAAATTAGTTGTTCCAGTTACCAGATATAAGCATACAAAATTGGTCAAGAGAAAAAAATTAAAGCATTAACTGTTCCTTTCAATAAACCAATAGACATCAGGAACACACTTATTGCAGCTATACTTGTATATACATATTTTTTCTTTTTTAATTTTAAAGAGAAAATAACAAAAACAAAGACATAAACAAAACAGCATAAAAACAATAAAAATGATACAGAATTTCAAAACAGATGATAGGAAATTAACAGTGGTTGTTGCATTACATGTTGTTATCTTCAGAGTGGTTACTCAGGTAACTAGATATAGGCATGTAAGATTGATCAAACAATTACACACTAACTGTTCCTTTCAATAAAGCAATAGAAATTAGTAGTACAATTATCTTGGCCATCTTGTGTATATAAATATACATATTTTCCATTCCTTCTTTCTTTTTTTTCTCTTTTCCCTCATTTCAGTTGTTCTTTCCTATTTGAGCAGTTTCTTTCCCTTTCACAATATCTATTGTATTTTTCAGATTTTATTCACTCTTTCAGGTTCTTATACTAGGGAGGCAATATTATGTAAACCATTAAACTTAAAGGTGAAGAAGAGGATATTAGAACAAATACCACTTATATCCAGAAGTTGACTAGGGAATAATATGAAAAATTATAGGCAATAAATTGGAAAAATCTAGAAGAAATAGATGTATTTCTAGACATATGACTCACTCAAATTGAACTAAGGTACTAAGAAAACCTTAAATAGACTAATAGCAAGCAATAAAATTGAAGCAGCAATAAAAACTCTCCAAGTAAGGAAGAGGCTAAGATCACACAGATTCACAGCAGAATTTTATCAGACCTTTGTACAACTAATGCTAATGTGGAAAGGAAAATAATTGCCTCAGATTCATTCTATGAAGCCAGTATTACCCAGCTACTAAAGCCAATTAAGAACACAACAACCACCAAAAAACCTACAGACCAATATCTTTGATAAGTATAGATGCAGGGCCGGGGATATAGTTCAGGGGCACAAGCCCCTGCCTGGCAAGTGCAAGGTCCTGAGTTCAATTCCCAGTATCAAAAAAAAAAAAAAAAAAAAAAGAATTCTTCCAATAAGTATAGATGCAAAAAATTCTCAACACTATAATTATAAATTAAATTCACCATCACAATAAAATGATAAAACACTATGATCAAGTTGGTTTCACTTCAGGGGTACAAAATTGGTTCAATGTATCCAAATTAATAAATGTAATATACTACATAAATAGAATTAAGAATAAAAATTACTTAACAATCTAAATAGATGCAGAAAAACGTTGATAAAATTTAACATTCTGCATGATGAAAACTTCTTATAAACTATATATAGAAGAGGATTATACACAACATATTAAAACCATATAGACAAAACCATAGCAAGCACCATACTAAATGGAGAAAATCTGAAAGCATTTCCTCTAAGTCAGTAATGACACAAAGGTTTCCTCTCTCAAAACTCTTATTTAATATTGTATTGAAACTTCAGGCCAAGCCATCAAGCAAGAGTAAAATAATTTAAAAATATACAAATAGGAAAGGGAAAGTAAGATTATTCCTTCTTGTACTGGAAGATTCTATACCTAAACTACTCAAAAATTTCCAGAAAAATGTCTCTCAAAGCTGATAGCAAATTAGCAAACTAGCAAGATATAAAATAAACATACAAAACTGATAGTTTTCCTATACACTAACATGAAATCATTGAGAAAGAAATCAAAGAAACAATCTCATTCATAGTAGCCTCAAAAAAAAAAAATACCCAGGAAACCCATAACCAAGGAGGTGAAAGACCACTATAGTGGAAATTACAAAACACTGAAAAAAAAAAACTGAAGATATTAGAAGATGGAAAGTTCTCATATATTCATGGATTGGCAGATTTAATTATTGTTTAAACTGATTATACTATCCAAACACATTCAATAAAATCTTTATCAAAATTCCAATGTTATTCTTCACAGAACTAGTTTTAAAAATCCTAAAGTGATGTGAAAATACAAAAGACCCTGGCCACCCAAAGTAATCCTGAGAAAAATGAACATTGCTAGAAACATCATAATCCCCAATTTCAAAATTCTATAAAGATGTGCTAAGAAAAATAGCATGGTATTGACATAGAAATAGACATGTAAACCAAAGGAATAGAATAAAAGACTCAGAAA